TTTGTGTCTCAAACGCGTCAAGTCTCGATTGGTGCCATGTCATACTGCATTGGTTCTTCGCGACTTTTTTGCCAAAAACTCGACTCATATCGTTCCGCAACCACCGTATTCGCCTGATTTGGCTCCGTGCGACTTCTGGTTATTCAGCAAACTCAAAAAGCCAATGCGGGGACGCCGTTTTGACACGATTGAGGAGATAAAAACCGAATCGAAGAAGGTCTTGAAGGCTATACCGGAAAAAGACTATTCCGACTGTTTCAAGGACTGGAAAAAGCGTCGGAAATAGTGCGTTTTATCGGACGGGGATTACTTTGAAGGGGATGAAATTGATTTGGAAGAATAAATAAAAAATTTACATTTTATAAACAAATTCACCTTACTTTTTGATCACAGTAGTACATTATAAAAAGTTACATATACCATAAATGCATAAAAATCAGCAGTCTAGTTATCGCACTAAGCTCGTTAGAAAAATTAGTACACCGTTCGTAGCTCGTCGTTCAAGGATGAAGCCAGCGATTAGCGTTAAGTTTCGCCGTGGTTATCGCGGAGCGGCGAGAGCGATCAGTGAAACGTGGAATAAATTTTCACGCGCGCCTGTAAAATCTTAGCGGAAACTCCCATTCGCTAATAATCACCAGTATGTAAGACCGGTAGTGGTCACGTTGGGTGACGGTATCACCTCAACCTTGCTCCACTTGTAGGCGAGCCGGCGCGAGAACTTCGCCACACACGGCGCACCGCCAGCTAAACAAATATTTAGCTGCACGCAATCCGAGCTTCCTATGCCGTGACGTCGACTCGAAGAAAAAACGCAGCGTTCGTGGACGTTATACAACGTCGCGAACAAAGAAATTCGAAAGCAAGAAAACGCAAGAGAATCGTCTTGGGAAGTTACCTTCCGCGAAGCCTTGAATCCGCTCGAGAGACCTTCCTAAGATCCTTCTAGGTTCAGAGGTCGAGGAGCAGCGATTAGGAAGATCGGGAATGGCCAAGGTAGCCAAACAAGGCGAAGGTGTCTCGATGGAAGTGGGAAAAATGGTGGACGATGGCGAACGAGGCCCGATGTCGGTAGCTAAAGGTGGCTAAGGGGATTAGGAATGTCCGTAGTCAGCCATAGGATCTGCTAAAAGCCTTCGCGGACCATGATTCAAGGATAATGATAGCTTTAGGGTGCCGTAGCCGTTCTTGCGATAAAAAGCACACTCTTTTACGCTGAACTAGACAAATTAAATCTAGGTTGTGCAAGGATTTGGCATTTTATTTAGGATCTTTGTTTTTATTGTTCATGAGTTACCTTCAGTTCTGTCGATGCCACAAGCTAACTATTACGGTTTACATTAATTGTTATTATTATTATTGTTATCAATCGCTCCATTTTCTTAACCTCTTGGGCTGGAATAACCCTTCACACCTTTCAGTCAAGAATACAAAAAAATAAATAAATAATTACCCTTTGCCTTCGAGTGGTGACTCTGAGGCAACATTAAAATTGTTACATCACGTTCCAAGATAATATTTATGTTATCGAAGCTTAGATATAAAAAGATTGTTAAAAGTCTAACTGTCGTATGAGTCATAAGACTCAATTTCATATGCATGAAATGCACTGTGTCGTACAAAATGGAAATACCGCAAGTCGAAAAAAGTTAATTTAGATTTACAGTTGAAATTACTTCGAGTGCAAAGGGTTAAACTAGTTAGACATGTAAAAAGTGGCTCGTTGCATTTCATATTGTGCATCGTGTCGAAATTCATCGTATTGTGCAAAACGATCCACAAAGATTTTCACTACATAGAATAATCTTGTAAATAATTGATTTAGGCGAGTTCGTCATAAGTGGACTGCGAATTTTATGCACGTATGGCAAAAATGAATAGTTTCAATTTAAAATAGTTGGTTCGATTAAAAGAGCTCAAAAATGTCATTGTATTATTTTCAATTTAATAAAATTATAAAAAAGCGAGTCAACTTTTTATACAGTTTCTACCTCTCGCAATCGATGTAGACAAATCTTATTTTTCATAAAAATCCGCGATCTAGTCGTAAGCATCTATCGATAACTTTTCAGTGCATCGGAGATTATAAAGTTGAAAGTTTCGAGGAGCCTTTTAATCCGACCTAAGGGGGGTTCGAGTTAAACACCCCCCGCCCCTGCGGAGATTCTTTTTTCGGTAGATTAATTCTTGAATCTGATACAGGAATTTATCGAAGAGTCATCCTAACGCAACATTGTCTGTTCCAGGATCTTCGAGAAGATCAGATACTACTTCGGGAACTCCAGCGATTCGATACCGATGTCGTTCGTCCTGGGATTTTATGTGAGCCTGGTCGTGAAGCGATGGTGGGAGCAATACAAACTACTGCCCTGGCCGGACAACTTAGCTTTGTTTATCAGCGCCGCAATTCCTGGAAACGTGAGTATCAACTGCGGATTAGACCCTCGTCCTAAACTTGCCTAACATGAACGTTTCGCCCGACCCTTGCAGTAACTTCGCGAGATTCCATAATATACAATGTCGAACAGACTTGTAACACGCTTATAATACAAAGAACAATTTCTTCGTATCATCGTTAGCAATTGGACGGCGGGACCTGGATAAATTTGAATAAAGTTGAAAGTTAAAACGTCCAATAATCACAACGATACATATAGCTATTCGCAATTCACTTGCATTCGTTCATCATATCGTTAACATTCGAGTTAAGATTTGATATTCTAATAAATATATGTTTCATTGAATTAAATAGACATATTATAATGAAGCACGTAACACATCGTTTGTGTGTGTGTGTGTATTGTGATAATGTTTAATTTACTGTTGACAATTTTATTGAATGAATGAATTAAAATGAATATAGTTTCAATTTAAAATAGTTCAATTAAAAGAGCTCAAAAATGTCATTATATTATTTTCAATTTAATAAAATTATAAAAAAGCGAGTCAACTTTTTATCAGTATTTCAGCACTATTACATTTTTACTCTTTGAAATTAAATTTTTGCACCGTATTGACAAATGAAATCTTGTTATTTTAATACTAAGCTTACCGTGACGATCGAAACGACGAGTGGAATATTTAGTCTTTCAAAATTGTTCAAGTTACGACGTCTCTCTCGTAGAGAATGATCGAATACAGTTCTTAATTCAAGGATTACGTTATAATAAAAATAACGAAGAGTGCAAATAAATTCAGACTCGCGAAATCTAAATAAACAGACACAGCCCACGAAAGGATTTTTAAATAAAGAAATCTGGAATCCATCACCGATAGTTACGGTGTTAACCCTAGAAAGATAACCATATGACAACGTACGTAAAAGATAACCATACGCTTCAGAGGCGCATGCTTTTCTAAGGCGTCAATTTTATACTAACAATGGATATTTATTTAAGTTAATCTAGTCATTTTAAAGGTTTGGCATTATTGTAAAAATAAAATGCATTTATATTATATTTTTTTATATTTTAAGTAATTTTAAACTTAAATCACTAGACCTCTATGAAAAATTAACAAAAATCAACAGTCTTCGCAGGCGCCTCTGCGACGTAGGTTATCTTTCTCGGGTTAAACGAGCGCGTAAAAATCGAATGAAGCGTACGCCGCAGAACAATTACACGAATAAGCAGAGAAGAGTTGCATAAAGAGTAAGAATCATGATTAATGTATCGTAGAGTACAGTTCCCTCTGAAGGATATTAATCGTCAGCGATAGAAATTCATTCGGGATTACCAGAAGGTAGCAGGCTCTCGGTCGCACGAAAATTCCCCGTAGCCTTGGTGTATCGGTCGCGGCTCGGCGTCGCGGCTCGTCTCATTACGCTAATGAATTGCCGTGACACGTTTCGGTGTCGTTAACCTAAGTAGGTGCCAGCTCGGAGTCACGCCACGCCCAGAAGCGGCAATAAAAAAAAAAGAACCGCGGCGTGCAGAACGATCATCCCATAATTGGCAACCGAGCGAATCTCGTTGCTCGTCCCCGGGCTAACGGGCACCCACCATGGAACGACACGGGTCGACATAGGACGACACAGTGGCCAGGACGACGGTGTCCGCCGATTTAAACTGGCCGCGCACGTGTCCGCGATGCCGACACGGTGCACGCCGACCGAGAAATTGCCGTCCATTATCGTTACTTTCTCTGATCGCGTCGAACGGACCGATAACGAAAGTTCACCGGCACGCCGGCTTTACCTGTGTGTGTGTACACGAACGTCGTTCCATAAGTAATCTGTTAACTCAGCCATGAGAGTAATTAACCTCTCGACGGTGACCCGCGGGATCACCGTCCAATATACTAGCATCCGACCGATCAATTTCACTTTCGTAGTTCCCGCGATCGAAAGTACGATCGTGATATTTAACTACGATGGATTCGAACGTGCTATTCCCGCTGGTTGGCCATCGAGGATCTTGAGTGACTCGATCGAGCGATTTTTCGAAAATATTCCCAATTTGGCTCCCAAAGTTTCGTTCTCGAATTCGCGAAAGTGACGAAGCTGGAAAATATTTGAAGGTGCGAGACACCTAGTTTATAGGTATTAGAGCGATTGATCGATCTATTTCGAATCTCGAAATCGATCAATTTCGGGCCCGTTCGATTTGTCGCAATCATACCGCGGGTTTTATGGATTTATGGCAAAAGTGAGTAGCGAAAATATAAAATTGAAGGAACGTGAAAAGAATTTTACGTTCGATTTGTCGCAAGCATACCGTAAATTTTCGTAGTTCCCGCGATCGAAAGTACGATCGTGATATTTAATTACGATGGATTCGAACGTGCTATTCCCGCTGGTTGGCCATCGAGGATCTTGAGAGACTCGATCGAGCGATCTTCTTGGGACAATATTTGGAGAATATTCCCAATTTGGCTCCCAAAGTTTCGTTCTCGAATTCGCGAAAGTGACGAAGCTGGAAAATATTTGAAGGTGCGAGACACCTAGTTTATAGGTATTAGAGCGATTGATCGATCTATTTCGAATCTCGAAATCGATCAATTTCGGGCCCGTTCGATTTGTCGCAATCATACCGCGGGTTTTATGGATTTATGGCAAAAGTGAGTAGCGAAAATATAAAATTGAAGGAACGTGAAAAGAATTTTACGTTCGATTTGTCGCAAGCATACCGTAAATTTTCGTAGTTCCCGCGATCGAAAGTACGATCGTGATATTTAATTACGATGGATTCGAACGTGCTATTCCCGCTGGTTGGCCATCGAGGATCTTGAGTGACTCGATCGAGCGATATTTCAAAAATATTCCCAATTTGGAGATGTGTATAAGAGACAGCCGTAAATTTTCGTAGTTCCCGCGATCGAAAGTACGATCGTGATATTTAGATGTGTATAAGAGACAGCCGTAAATTTTCGTAGTTCCCGCGATCGAAAGTACGATCGTGATATTTAATTACGATGGATTCGAACGTGCTATTCCCGCTGGTTGGCCATCGAGGATCTTGAGTGACTCGATCGAGCGATATTTCAAAAATATTCCCAATTTGGAGATGTGTATAAGAGACAGCCGTAAATTTTCGTAGTTCCCGCGATCGAAAGTACGATCGTGATATTTAATTACGATGGATTCGAACGTGCTATTCCCGCTGGTTGGCCATCGAGGATCTTGAGTGACTCGATCGAGCGATATTTCAAAAATATTCCCAATTTGGAGATGTGTATAAGAGACAGCCGTAAATTTTCGTAGTTCCCGCGATCGAAAGTACGATCGTGATATTTAATTACGATGGATTCGAACGTGCTATTCCCGCTGGTTGGCCATCGAGGATCTTGAGTGACTCGATCGAGCGATATTTCAAAAATATTCCCAATTTGGAGATGTGTATAAGAGACAGCCGTAAATTTTCGTAGTTCCCGCGATCGAAAGTACGATCGTGATATTTAATTACGATGGATTCGAACGTGCTATTCCCGCTGGTTGGCCATCGAGGATCTTGAGAGACTCGATCGAGCGATCTTCTTGGGACAATATTTGGAGAATATTCCCAATTTGGCTCCCAAAGTTTCGTTCTCGAATTCGCGAAAGTGACGAAGCTGGAAAATATTTGAAGGTGCGAGACACCTAGTTTATAGGTATTAGAGCGATTGATCGATCTATTTCGAATCTCGAAATCGATCAATTTCGGGCCCGTTCGATTTGTCGCAATCATACCGCGGGTTTTATGGATTTATGGCAAAAGTGAGTAGCGAAAATATAAAATTGAAGGAACGTGAAAAGAATTTTACGTTCGATTTGTCGCAAGCATACCGTAAATTTTCGTAGTTCCCGCGATCGAAAGTACGATCGTGATATTTAATTACGATGGATTCGAACGTGCTATTCCCGCTGGTTGGCCATCGAGGATCTTGAGAGACTCGATCGAGCGATCTTCTTGGGACAATATTTGGAGAATATTCCCAATTTGGCTCCCAAAGTTTCGTTCTCGAATTCGCGAAAGTGACGAAGCTGGAAAATATTTGAAGGTGCGAGACACTTAATTTAAAGGTATTAGAGCGATAGATCGATCTATTTCGAATCTCGGAATCGATCAATTTCGGGCCCGTTCAATTTGTCGCAAGCATACCGCGGGTTTTATGGATTTATGGCAAAAGTTAGTAGCGAAAATATAAAATTGTGGGAACGTGAAAAGAATTTTCCGTTCGATTTGTCGCAAGTATACCGCGGATTTCATGGATTTATAGCAAAAATGAGTAGCGAAAATATAAAATTGTGGGAACGTGAAAAGAATTTTACGTTCGATTTGTCGCAAGCATACCGCGGATTTTATGGATTTATGGCAAAAGTGAATAGCGAAAATATAAAATTGTGAGAACGTGAAAAGAATTTGATAATATTATTACGCTATTTTGAACGTTACTTTCATACAACCGTCTCGGAAAATTTTTATAACGCATACAAGATAGTCTAGTTGTAAGTTATTCCAGACATTATAGGAACAATGTTACTTCTGCGTTTCATTTAAATATTTGTTCAAGGATACGTAGAGTCGACTTTCCTCTTGGACGATCGATTTTCATACTATTGTTTCGTTAGTTGACGTAACCTAACGCAATGGAGAAAATATTCTCTTACAGTTCAAGGGTTGGACTGATCGCGCGAAGATAGTTCTCTCGCATGTTTTTTAATACTTTTCTGAGAAGAAATTGATCGCGTAATTTTTATAACCGTTGCACACGATTTTCTGTAAATCATTTTACGATTATGGTGATCGGTACGGTTACCAGATGGAAAATACGGAGCTTCTTATCGATATCTGCTTCTTATTAATCGAACGCGTCGAAGGAAAATGCAGTTTACATAACCGCTTTCATAATTACAACGAACAGAAAACGAAGCTGCACAGAGCATGGAATCTCCATCTAATTGTTTCGTTCGTACGCGAACCGCATTCCGATATTTCAGC